ATCTACAGGCACCAGTAAAGTGATGTGTTATGCAGTGTTTTAGGTTTAACTCACTCTCAGTCTGACAGGAGATTTGCTTCACTTAGCTGTGGCTGAAATGGCTGAGCTGAGCTCCAACCATTCCTGGGCTAAGCCAAGCTGCCCCCACTTCACTCCAGACCCTCCTGGAGGATGCACTTGGGCACTCATCACACATTGTAGCAACAGAGGCACAGGTGCAGTTCTCTTCAGCACGTAGCTAAGGGATGGCACCTATGGCAAAGAGACAGGGCAGGAAATGGAGACAGCCACCTCTTCATCTGGCACAGCAGGATTTGCCAGAATGTTCAGCAGAGCCCACAGAATGAACTACAATTAGCTGCTAAGGCTGAAGCAGTCTAAAATGCCCACCAGGAGACATCCTAGCACACAAAACATGCACTAACAGGCACACTAGAGCCCCTTACTACAGATCCTGAATCCTCCCTCCTTCACTGCAGACCAGTCCACATTTTCTTATATGCCCAACTTTGTTGGGGAATCCCTGGAGGGAGCACAGGGTAAATCGTGCAGTTCTGCTGCCTCTGGGAGGGTGACACAGACTGTATAACTAAGATGTGATTCCCCCATTTCAGAGAAGGAAAGATGAAGGATCATTTGGGAAATGCTGCCTATTCCTCAAATCCCACACTGGCCAATTCAAGTAATTAAAAATATATTCCACTGACAGCAATGCAGTGACATTGATTCTGTGACCTCTGGACAACTGCAGGTCTGTGGACTACAATCATAACAGCCCTAAAGATAAGGTTTGACAGCACAGTTGTTTACATTTCACATGGAGGGGGTCCAAAAAGCATTAAAGCCTGAAAACCTGCAGGCTGGTGAAGTAGTTATTTGCCAGTAAGGGAGGGGATAATCAGGGTTACAGTGAGATATTGAAAAATATGTCATAAAACACCTTCATCATTCATAGCATTGTCTGTCAGCAATCTCCTGCCAGTATTTACCCACACAGAGTTGGGGAGAGAGCGCTCATTACCACACACTATTTTTGGCTGGTTTTGTAGATGTGTTACAAACACCACTGGATTTTTAAGGAAGTGTTCAGCAGTCTCTTTGGCTGACACAAAGCTATCCTAAAAGCATTCCCAGCTCTCACTTCATATAGTCAGGCTTGTAGGCTTGAACTCTCACAGTCTCATCTGAATTTCTTGCACATCTCTACAGAATTGCTCCACCACCTTTTTTCTCCTGTGGCCAAGTGCAGAATGACCTTCAGTTTTTGCACTGCAGCCAAAAGCAGTTTATTTAGAAAGTTAGAAAACAAAAAGAGTTTAGAATAAACTTCTGTATCTTTTTCACAAACACTTTGATCAAGCATGTAAGCTCAACAAAAATAACTCATCATCAATGGCTGGGCTGTACTAGAGCATTCCCAAGCTCAGGCCATGAAATAATGAGCCTGTTTCAAAACACTTTTAAAAAAGGAATCTTTCTGCTTTCTGAAAGTGGCTTTGGAATAGACCCAGACTATTTAAGTCACAAAATACTGAGACACAGTAGTAATTATTCATGGTGAACCCTTACTTACTTGTCAGTAAATCACCATTAAGGAAAGGTTAAGATTCCCTCATTTAAAATGAGAAGCAAGGGTTTTTGTCATCCCCCTTTATCATCTTTGACTATATATAAAAAATTATTAACACATGTATGCTTTCCCATCAAAACCTCCAGTAACATCAGGCAATATGTGTAAAATATATCAGCAATAAAATGGAGTTTAGTGTATCTGAGGACCTCAGTGCAGGCTTTGTTAAAATGAAATAGTTTGGTAGTCTGACCTCGATCCAACCAAACAGAACCCTCTTCCTTTCAAAGGGAGACACTTCTTTTAAGACAGAAAAGCTTAAAAGAATCAGCTTTAGTCCTTAGGAACAGACTCCTTATAAAAGTGCATCAAAAAAACCAAAGTATCTTGTTCAATTACAAAAGCTTCTATTCTTGCAGGTGCTTAAGATGATGATCTTCAGTGTTTCAGAGGGGAAAACAATTTCCCCAGGGTGTTTCTGAGCGAGACTGTCAGGTGATGTTTTCAGTGCCTGCACTGTTCTAGGTGGGGGAAACAACCCAACAAAAAGAGCCCACACATGCACAAAGGAGATCAGAGATGCAGCCTCACTAGATGGCAACCCCTGGGCTGTCCAAGTGCCCTCACCACCTCCAGAGCATGGAGAAGGGCTCCATTGCTCCTCAAGAGTTACACAGAAGTCTTTGTTTGGTCTGTGTTGGGAAAAGCTGCTGTTAGCTCCTTTCCAGGCTTATCAGACTACCATGCCAGGTACTCCTCATGTACAAATACATCATCCTCTGGCAGCAATGTAGCCATACTTAGAAAAACACTGATTTCTAGATTTCTTTTTTTTTCTTTTAGTGCAAGCTCCCATAATCTGAGCATCCCCCTTAAGGAACTATAGCAGGTTAGAGGCTTGTGCAGCTGCTGCTCTGTCGGCCTGATTCCCAGAGCCTGACCCAAAGTACCTGCAAGCCCACAAAGAACCCTCCCAAGCTGGCAGCACTGGGAATGAGCTGCCAGCCCAGCCTTGGATCAGCCCAGCTCTGCTGGCACCCACAGAGCTGCTTCTCCCACTGGCTTTAGACAAGGCCTAACCCAAGAATGCTGATTGATGCTCAGCTTCTGAGCACCACAGGTCACCACCTACAAGGCAGCAGAGCACCAAATGAGCAAAAACCACCAGCTGCTCAGATTTGTGGCCCTTCAGGGCTGGTTGGAATAAGAAGATTAGGTCTGTGGGCAATCAGACTATTCAGGTTTGCAATGTCTATCCCAGAACCAATGCCTGAAAACCTCTTTTTGACTTCTGAGCAAATCTCACACCTGTGAGACAGCTGACATGATAGGCTATAAAGTCTTCAGGATTAGATGCCCAGTTAATACACATTTGCCTACTGAGGTTATGAGATATATAAATCCTAAAACAGGTGGGTTTGCTCCTTACCTGGGACCACTGCATTATCAGCTCCCCCATCATTTGCAAATCTTAGGTGCACAGCTCAGGGGAGAAAAATGGGCACTCAGATTATTAGCACAGCATCATTAAGCTGAAATAATTCTGAGCAGGTATCAAGACACACTGCAAACTGACATGCTTGAAGTAGGAGCTAAACAAACAAAAAAATAATCCAACACATCTCCACCTGCAATAACCTTCCAGCTGGTCTTGCCCAGGTAGTCTCAGACGCAGTTGGATGCAAGCTCTGGTGGGAGCTGGCAGTGTGCAGCTCACTAATGCAAGCTGGGAGGTTTGCCAAAGTGAAGAAGGCAGGACAGAGCTCACAGAGCAGAACACTGTCCCATCATCAAAACCAGCAGCAGGGCAGGATTAACCTAATTTGTAGCTACCTTGGCTGGACACGCTGGCCATTGATCCTCATACACGCTCTGGAGAAGCTGAGTGAAATAAACTGCTGCAAAATTGTTCTTGAAAAGTGCATTTCCTCAACAGCACCCAGCTATCAAACGCTGGAGTGTTGTGGACATTCATCCACGGTGGTTCCTTCCATACAGCTTGTGGACACTTGGGCAGCTTGTGGGGAGGAAAGAGGAGGCAGCAGTTACAGCTCTTGCTTATGAAAGTAAAATTAAAACATTTGCCAAAACAATTATCTCAGTTTATCTCCAAAAGATTTTGCTTCACCTCTCCACACTTCCCAGCATGCTGACCCCAAATCTCTGAAAAGTTAAACCTGGGTAGAAGAATGAAAAAAAATTGCTTTACCTTCCACACTATCTTTTAAAACACAGAAGGCACAAGGATTTGTCACCACCACCAAGGGTAAAACCCCAGGCTGAGGGTAAAACCCCAGGCTGATCCCTATGTGGATCCCGTTTAAAAAACAAACAATCCACTGGCAGGGAGCCAGACTGCAGGATTGCCTTTGAAAACTTGCATTTCAATAGGAAACCTCCGAGTATTTTGATCTGTTTTCATAACTGTAACAATTTTCATCCCTTGACTTTGTAGCATATTATCGCTCCTTTCTTTCTACCAAGTTACAGAAACAGACGGCACAAATGAAGGCCAAACAAGCACGGGTCGCTGTGGATAAAATACACAATTTCAAAAGATTTGGAAAAGACAAAACCCGCTGCCTGTCTTAACTCCTGCCAAGAAACTATTACAGAGGATGGAGGTGAAAGCCCCCTGAACGTCGCGTCCCAACAGCAGTAACAACCACACATCTCGGATCTATTGTGTAGCTTTATTTTTATAGGACCTATCATAGACTCTTTTACATAACTTAAATGATTATCAAATAATCTCCTGTACACAATGAGACGGAGCCGCATCGCTTTCTGAGCTTTGACACATTCCTGGAAGAAATCCAACAGTCTGTAGGAATCACATGGCCGCAGTGGCTACAGTACATTTTTGTCCCGAACTTACACCATCAATTAACTTACGAATCGCTGTAAATTGCCGTTTTGCAAGACTCTGCAAGACGCTGTTAAAATTTCAGGACACTGAGTTTTTGTAGCAGCATTTTTAATTTCGCTTTGCTTTCTTGCCTTTGTGTCCTCAGCTGAACACCTGCCAGCACTTGTGACAAACGTGAGCCTGGGAAAAATGTTAAACGCACCTCAAGTGTTGACACGAGCTTTAGAATTAGACTGAAATCACTGACGAGTGGTCCCCGCGGCCTCTGAGGAGCGCAGCCCCTATCCCCAGGTCGCCCACAGGTTCAGCAACGCGTCCGCCTACAGCCAGCCAGGCCCGGGCCCCTAAGGAAGGAGGATGAAAGGGGGGCACCGGCCGCTACAAAAAGACCTGAAGAAACCCAAAGTTTCACATTTTATTTGCAGCGTCGCCCAAACCGCAGGAGGAGGAGACTGGCAGTGCACAAGGGTAAATCCTGCGGGGGCCGTGGCTGCGGTTTCGGCTGCGGGGCTCTCGCATGCAGCGCAGTGTGCGGATCCCCGCGCTGCCCCACTGCCCGCGGGGCGCCGGCGGCCCTAGAGGCCGGGGTAGGCCCCGCGGTGGTACCCGCCGCCGTAGTCGTAGGGCGGCTGCGGCGGGGGCAGCGGGCACTCGGGGAAGAAGGGGGCGAACCCCGCGGGCAGGTGTCCCCCCGGCTCCTCGCTGCCGGGCACGGGCTCGGCGCCGCCGCCGCCGGGGTAGATGGGGCGCAGCGGCTCGGGCGGCGCCTTCCTGGGCGGGCTGCAGGGCGCGGCCGGGCTCCAGGGCGGCTCGGGGTACAGCAGCCCGCCCAGCAGCGGGTGCGGCCCGGCGGGCAGCGGCAGCTCGTACAGCCCGTGCTCCAGCCCCAGCTCGGCGGGCAGCCGGCCGCCGAAGGCGTCGCTCGGGGCGGCGTGCTCGGGCAGCAGCGCGCCGTACTCGGGGCACAGCAGCTCCAGGAACTCGGTGGCCTCGGCGCCGCCCGCCCCGCCGCCCTTCTCCGGCTCCTTGGAGGGCGGCCCGCGGGCGGCGGGCCCGGGCAACGCGGGCTCCGTGAAGAAGGAGGGCGGCAGGTTACGGTCCCGCAGCGGCACCTTCCGCGGGCCGCCCGCCGCCCGCTCCGCGCCGCCCGCCCGTGCCTCGGCGCCGCCCGCCGCGCCCCGGCCCCGCTGCAGGGAGCCGAAGAGGGCGGCCAGGCTCTTGCTCTGCAGGCTGCTGCCCGGCGCGGGCTCCCGGCGCGGCGCGGGCCGGGCGGGGCAGGCGGCGGGCGGGCAGGCGGCGGGCGGCGGGGCGGCGGCGGCGATGATGCCGGTGCAGCGCTTGATCTGCTTCTGCAGGTACTTCCTGTGGTTCACCTTCCGCCGGGACTTCACCGGCCGGTCCAGCGCCAGCTTGATGTTGCTGGAAGCCGAGTCGATGAAGCTCAGCAGGTCCCGGGTGGCTTCTCTAAAGTCCCCCGCTTCGCCGCCGCCGCCGCCCTCGTAGCCCTTCTCCAGGTCGGCATAGCCCAGGAGCCCGCCGGCGGAGGCGGGGAAGCAGAAGGAGAGGAGGTGGTGCGGGCTGAGCAGAGCGGCGGGCACGGCCATGGCCGGCGGCGAACGCCGCCGCCCTGAGTCCCGACAGAGTCCGCTGGGATGCGCCCGGCGGGCGGCGGAGCGGGGAAAAGGCGGCGGGCGGGGAAGGAGGAGGAGGAGGAGGAGGGATCAGAGCGGGGCTGGCCCGGCCCTCCCCGCCGGGAGCCCGGGGGCCGGGCCGGCTGCACCCCCCAACCCACCGAGCCGGGCGGGAACACCGGCAGCGGCGGGGCGGGACGAGCATCGCCCCGGGACTGGGACACCCCCGCCCTGGGACAGAGACACAGCCCCGCGGGACTGGTGTATACACCCCGGGACAGGTGTACACACACACACACACACACACCCCGGGACAGGTGTACACACACACATACACACCCCGGGACAGGTGTACACACACACACACACACACACACACACACACACACACACACTCTCCGGGACAGGTGCACGGCATCACCTGGCCAGACACTCGCAGGCACCCCAGAGCCGGTGCGCAGCATCCTTCAGTCCCCATTAGCCGTGTCCCCGCTCCTGCAGCTGCCCGGCTGGCACAAATCGTGTTCCTCCCTCTGGGGTCCGGCCCGGCGCTCGCACGGCTCTGGGTGCGAGGGCTCGGGACATGCTCCCGCTCTGACAGCCGCCAGGATACACACACTTAAATTGATTTGTAAAGGATGCTTCTTTCCAAGCTCATTGATATGCACATTGTGTGGCGTATTCTCTGTCTAGTCAAGTCCTAAGAAAAATCAGAGCTGTGATCCAGTAGAGATTTCAAACGGCTGGGGTGTGGGGACTTAAAGTCACAGAATTATGTAATCGTTTGGACTGGTAGGGACTCTAAAGTTCATCTAGTTCAACTTCCCTACAGTGAGCACAGACACCTTCCACTGGACCACCTTGCTTGTGGTGTTGCATGGGCTGAGTGAAGCAGCAGTATAAATCTTCCATATAAAAGATAAAAAAGTTAGTGAAGCTACTTAAAGTACTATTAACAACTCCTGAAGAAACTATCTTGTCTTTTTTTATGGGGAAAAGGTATTTCAATTTGTCTTCAGAAAACTCTTACACTGATGCAGAACAACCCACAACCCAGCTCCAGATTTATGTTCAATGTTTTTATATGCTCAAAACTAAATGAAGATTCATATCCAATTTGGAATTAAATAAAGTGAGTTTTCAATGTCTGCATCAGTTCATTGGAAATGCAGCAGATTTATATTGGGAGGAAAAAACAGAAACCAAAACTGCAGAAGGAAAGTGAGACAGGACTTGGACTGTAATTAGTGGTAAAATGGAAAAACTAGCCAAATTCACCTCACTGTGGTTTGAAACACTTGTTGAATGCAAAGCAAGTATTGCAAAGAGAAAACAGGAGAAAGCATGTGTTTCGTGGGAGGAAAAGAAGGCGCAATATGTTCTACAAAACAAGATTGCTGATTTTCTTGATCTCTCACCAGCAGCTCTCAGCAAGGTCCCAGCAGCAAGCAGAACCTCACAGTCCCAGGCACAGCCTGGGTTCTGCTGCCGGCCCATCCGGACTGGGTCGCCTTTGCCAAACTTGCTCAGCTGGAGGCTCCCGGAGTCTCTTATTTCGGGACTTGCTCTGAGTGTAACTGTGTGATTGAAGCAAAAGATCCCTGGTAGGCAGAGGGCTCTGGGAAGTTTCTGTATCTCTCCATATCAGAATGAGTATGTCTACATAGAAGGTGGATTTAAAGGACTTAGCTGGAATACAACTGACAGGGATTAACGATCCGAGCTGTTACCCTCAGGCCCTGTCAAGCCCTGTCAAGCTTTGCAGCCTGCTCCAAGCTCCCTTATTGATGGGAAAATGTAAAGAACAACATATACATCCCCCATGTGCTCCACTAGATAGTTTTGCATCCCCTGTGAGGCCACTTTGAGCTGGACATGGGTCTAGAAAATGGGGGTCACTGTCCTTCACAGGATGTGCAGACAGTCTGGGATTATTTCTTATGTGAGCAACATGAAATTATTCAAAGAGAGCGGCAATGAAGTTGTCCTCAAATTAGCATCCGCCTCAGCATTGTAGCAGCAATATTCCCTGGCTTGTCTAAAGGGTTTGTTAATGAGTCTGGGTGGCATTATATGAAGAGTGGATAAATATCCGGTGGCTCAGATAAAAAAGAGCTGAAAGCCCCAGCTTCTCTTCTGTAAGGCTGAATTCATTCAATTAAACAGCTTTGAGAGCTCAGCTACGGTTTAGCGGGAGACTTTATTACCTCCTAAAACTTGGAGAGTATTAAAACAATTGTCAGGCATGCAAAGGAAAGTTTGCATTCAGTTGTGCTAAGCAGCTGAATTTACATATTCTCAACCAGATCTGGAGATTTAGAAAGCCTTCATAATTGCATTAAACATGCTTATTCTCCGTGTTCTCTCAGGCAGAGCTGATTACCCCGAGTTGGGCAATGCCTGGAGGGAAATTTGCTAAGCCACATGATGTCAACAACTTTTAAAGAAACTTGATTTTTTTCAAGGAAATAACAGTTTGGTTATTTCTGAAAAACATCTCTTTTCTAGCAGCTGTATGAGACTGCTTGTCTTCTGCCTGTGCCCTTTCAGGATGCTGATGCTGAGTCCGCTTGTGGTGACTCTCAGGCCCAGCTATCCACCTCAGCTCACTAGCAGGGTCTAATGTCCAGGAAATGCTGGGTTTAGACCCACAAAATAGCCCCAGTCCCAGGCAAAATTTTGGACCAGATGTGCTTTTCCCTGCACTTTACCCTGAACAGACTGGGGTGAGTGAAGTGGCTGCAGAATTGCTTCCACCATCCCAAACCTTCATCCCACAGGAAAGCACTCAGTGCTTACTAATGGGCTCCAGGGGTTATACTGCTTTTTTTTTTTTCTCACTTTTGCATAGGAAATTTATCTGGCTTTGTGCATTTTCCTATGCTTGTTATAGGGAGCAGCATCTCAACCATGTCTGGGGGTTGAACCAAGGCTTCTGAGAGTAACACCCTTGGCATCAAACTTGGCTTTTTTAGAAAACCAGGGCAGAATCACTGAGAATCAAAGGGAGTAGGAGCATGCCCTGATCACTAATGCTTTGCTCTGACCACAGATTGAGCTCATGGCCACACGACTGAGCCCTTCACAAGAAGAACAATTTGCTATCCTTGCAGCCCAGGCGGGACAGAAAGGAGAGCAGTTTCCACAAGCGAGGAAGCATTGCATAGTCAAGGGCAGCATTACAGTGCCAGCACTTCTGGGGAGCAGCTCCTCACTGGAGCCAGTTGCAGAAGCTCTGTCTGCCCTCCTGAAGCTCATGGGGCTGCTCACCTCAGTGTCCAAGTGTCCCAGGGTAAATCCTCTTCCATGCCAGGGAAGGATCTCACTGGGATTCAGCCTGAAAGAAATATCTCATGTTGTGCCTCATCACTAAAAGGAAATAGATTCAGGCTGATATAAGGAAGAAATGTCTTATGATGAGAGTTGTGAAACACTGGTGCAAGTTGCCCAGAGAGGTGGTTGATTCCCCATCCCTGGAAGTGTTCAAGGCCAGGCTGGATGAGGCTTTGAGCAAGCTGGTCTTGTTGAAGATGTCCCCACTCACTGCAGGGAGGTTGGAACCAGGCGATCTTTGCAGTCCCTTCCAACCCAAACTGTTCCATGATTTTATGATCACTAGCAAAACCTTCTCCTAGGGAAGGCAAACCAAATCCAGCGCTGAGCCCGGCTCTCACAATTCACAGCACCCACTTTCCTTTCATCGTGGCATCAGGGAGGCAGTGTGAAAGTAAGGAAATCTCTGAGACAGGGGAGGGAGGGCTCTTTTTTTCTTTTTTTCCCCCTTCCTGGTTGTATGGCCCATATGGTTATCGAGTTCTGGGAAAATCTGGCTGCCCAAACAGGTGTCACCGCTCCCAACCTACAGACTCATTTCCTGATCGCGCCTTAATCGGCGACTTGGTTGTGAAAGTTGATTTCTTGCACATTCTTATATCAGTGGGAATTTCTGCCCTTCCCTGACAAGTATTATAGGCAGCCTTTGACATACAGCCCTACAGGACCTAAATAGGCTGCTATTCTTTCCCTACACTGAAAGGGAGCTTTGTGCCAGGGATTCATTAAGCTGCACTGCACAGCCCTTCATAAATGGGCTCAATAATGAACAGTCGATTTAACTGGAAAAGCTGCTGGAGCTGTTAAATTAAAGGGAAATAAAGTGCACTTCAGGCTCAGTCTGCCAGAAGAAAATGTTGACCTAAAAAAAAAAAATCTTTATTTTACTCAATCTCTTGCAAACAGGCTAAAATCTTCAGGAAGTTTATACTCACAACAGTGGGAACAATTTTAAAACACACTGATTTGCTTTCCCACTAATAAAGAAAAAATTGCAATAAAATACTCAATAAAATCAGGAGAGATGAAAGGCATTTTCCACTTAAGCCAAATTTAGTCCCCTTAACATGAATTTAATATTTGTATGTAGATCCCTCATCACATCAACTTTATGTAGGCAAAGCTTCCACTGGAGCTGAGTTCATAAAGTCATGAGGGAAACACTTTATTTCCAGTTTGCCAGTATTTTCTGAAATTCTGCGGTGCTGTGCAGTCCAGTCCTTCAGTGCCCAGGTCTGCCATCATGTTGCTCATAGTGCAGGGGGTGTTTTGCCCATGTGAGGTGTGCAGGACTCAGCTGAAAAACCAGCACACATGGGGGACTCCATTTAATCTTCTGAATAAATGCAAAATTCCATCATTCAGCTGAGCCTGACCCAACTCTTGGTTTTGGAGGGGTGAAATTCCTTATTTCAGTGAGGTTACTCCAGTGGAAACCTGGGGCAGTGAGTCAGCTCTTCCATCACAGCCATCTCAGTCTCCTTTATCTGGAAATTTTAAATCCTGTTCCTCACTTGTGTTCTGTACTTTATATATGAAATGTTGTGAAGAGAATCTATCTGTGTGAATGTAGACTGGAAGCTTAAGGACAAGAACATCAGAAGAAACGTGCAATGGGGAAGGGACCATGTCCAAATCTAATTCCTGGGGCAGCTCATCGGAAAAGAAACCTCAGCATCAGCTTAAAAAACGTAGTATTGCTATTACATTTCACATTGTAGCTATTTTTTCCTTATGTAAACTTCCTGATTGAAGAAACCCTCATCTTCTTCACACTGTTCTGATTTTTGTTCAAATCTTGTATATAAAGTGATGGCAGCAGGCTTTCAGCTCTTTACTGAAGCTACCTTCAATGGGCTTAATATTTTTTCATACTCTGAAAACATGGAGCATTCAGGAAGAATGCTGAAATTAGCTGAAATACGTCAGTCTTCCACCTAAATTGTCTATAATTATTTGAAATTTGATTATAAATTACCTGGAGTAGATTAAAATAAAGTTTGATTATAAATTACCTGGAGTAGATCAAAATCCCACAAGAATTGCAAAATCATGAACTTGTCTGTGAAAAAAATAGTGCATTTAATAAGTTGATAAGCCACCTCTTGTGGTTTATCAACTGTTGACTCACCACTGCAAGTGCTGTACAAAAAACAGCACTGGCATCTTCAGGAAAGAGACTTGGGGGTTGAAATTGTAATTTTGTTTTTCATTAAGTCCTGCTCCTAATCTGGCACTTGGCTACTGGTAGAAATATTCTATGAGGAAACATTTACAAATACATAAAATGAATTAGAAAATAAACCATTTTTCACACTATTGAGAATTTTTTTTGTCCTCAGTTCTTGTGTATTCCTTTAAGTTTTCAGGGTTTTATCTTCACTCAGGGACATTTCTGAAGGTAAATGTGCAGGGGTTAGGATCAAATTCCTTCCTTTATTTCTCTGGTAGTGCAGGTTGCTTCTTGGATGAAATGTGAAATGCTATCAGGCAGCAAGTTATGTCAAGCACTGTCCTGTTTGCTGCAGACTATCTTCCCTGTAATGTTGGGATTTTTTGCTTGGCAGGAGCCAGCTTGTTTGATCTCCTGGTCCCTGGCAGGCTTTGAGGAGGCGCTACATGCCTTTGAGAAGGGGCTGTGTGGCTTTGGGGAGGACAGGAGCTCCTCAAACCTTACCTGATGCAAAGGGTGAGGATTTACAAACGCTGCAGAAGAGCCTTCATGTATGTCAGCGTGGGCCCTGGTACCAGAGGTGCTGGGTGTCCCTCAGGGCCTGCCATGCAGCACCCACAGCACAGGGGAGAGCAGGGGAGGGCCCGGCGCCCTCTGGGCTGCCTGTGGCCATGGTCACACACTGCTTGGCAGCACTGCTGCAGAAAGAAGCCTTCTCTGTCAGCATTTATGCTCTGAGGTGAGGACCTGGTCCCATTCCCAGTGAAGCCACTTCCACTGGATTTCATTGGGGGATGAATAACTCTGCTGGGTGGATATAACATTCACAATTGCTGGGCATCAGCAATTCTCATGACTCTGGTAAGCCGCTCCCTGTCCCTGCCCTCTCTTTGGGAATAATCAATTTTCCTGAGCCAGGAAACCCCATGTCAAAATCTCCATATGATTTGTGGCATCTTTGCTCCGTGTAGCAATGAGCTGGACTCTGCTTGTCCTTCCAGCTCCCCCGTGGCCTGGGATCAGCACTCTCTGCCTCTCTGGGCAGCTCTGAAATGATGCTTCAGCCAGGCTGACTTGGAGGTGACTTCTGTCTGAATTGAAGGTGATTTTCAGGCACATCTGACCACAGCAGTGTTATCATAACTTTTCCTACTCCTTTGTGTCTCTCAGTGCAGCTAAGCTGATGGATCAGCCTGGAGAGGAGAAGGCTCTGGGGAAATCTTCAAGCGCCTTCCAGTACCTAAAGAGGCGACAAGAGAGACAGAGAGGGGCTTTTCACAAGTGCCTGGAGTGACAAGACAAGAGGGAATGGCTTTAGACTGAAAGAAGATAGGTTTAGGTTAGATGTAAGAAAGAAATTCTTTACTGAGAGAGTGGTGAGGCTCTGGAATAGATTGCCCAGAGAGGCTGTGGATGTCCCAAGCCTGGAAGTGTTCTAAGCCAGGATGTATGAGGCTCTGAGCAATCTGGTCTGGTGAAAGGTGTCCCTGCCCAAGGTAGGGGTTTGGAATTAGACTTTTAAAGTCCCTTCCAGCCCAAACCATTCTGGGATTCGTGTGACCCCATGGCACACAAAAAGAGAGCCCAATCCTTGCAGATATTTACCCACAGGGAAGTTTTTCTGATGTGTTACAATTGTTATGAGATATTTGCAGCACAAGTTCATCTGTAAAAATACTGTTCAGCAACATGCTCCAGTATTTAAATAAAAACAATTCGTTAATTAACTCACATAAATGAAAATTGGTTAAACCCCATTTCTTTACAAGAATCTTTTTCTCATGTTCAGCAACAGGTTCCAGTACTTAAATAAAAATAATTGGTTAATTAACTCACATAAATGAAAACTCATTAAACCCCATTTCTTTACAGGAACCTTTTTCTCATAAAAAGAAAAACAACTGTGGAAATTTTAATTGTTTTGCTTTTAACTTAGAAAGCTATCAAAACTGTGTCCAGTCTTGCCTATCAAAAATTGTCTTTTAGGAAATTTCAAATCATCTTTAATAAGCTTAACTCAACAGGCAAATTTGATTTTTTTATATTCAGCCTTGCTACCCATCCACTGCAGCACTGGGCTCCTCTGAGGGGCCCTCCAAGATCTGAAGCCAGACCAGGAGTACATTTTTGCCAGGGTGACATGAAGATCCATGTGAAAAATTAGCAGGTGTAGGACAGCTGATGTTCCTTGCCTGACCTACCACAGGGAAATCAGAGTCTCAAATTAATTTCACAGTCTTCAGATACCAGGATCAATTTTATTAACTCTCTATTTTTTTTTCCACTATTTATTTTTCTCCCTTGCTGAGGTATGTCTGCAGGGAGTTTAATCTCATCAGGAGCAGGAATTGGTCCCAAGGCCCCTTTGTTACAGCAAAGATGATGTTCTCAGTGGTGCAGCACGGCCTGGAGGCTGAGATGGCCACTGGTGTGCAGGACCTGGGCACGGCAGCAGATTCTGCTCCTGTACAAAGAGCTTCCCTGGCCCATGATATGTTGTCCCATGGGAAGCCCAGACCCTAAATCACCACAGCACCAGTGTCAGTCACCCAGGCCAAGCTCTGGGTCTCAGTGGGTTTGCTCTCCTGCTTAGATTTGGGCATATCCTGAAGGACAAAAGGCTTTGCTCACAGCAAGAGGGGTCAGAGCAAGTTTGTGGGGCACAGCTGCCTTTCAAATGGTACCTGTCGTAGGTTTCATTAGGAGTTTAGATTCTAATATTTTATTTTCCTATAAATTGTCTAGATAGACATATAATAAAGACATTTATACCCAGACTGGGAGTATGCTGTGGTTAGGAGCTTTGCATACAGCCAATACTGTATATGGACTAAAATATAGACCAAAAATGCTGTTAAGAAAAGACCTCTTTTTTAAACCTACAGCTGACATAAATATTGGATTCTTGGTTACCAGAAATATTTTCTTAACCAGATTTTTCAGTCTTTTCTTAACAGAGCCACTCACAGATTGTTCCCTGAATTATTTCATGTTTAAAAATGGTGTCTGGTTAAAAGAGAGAGGGAGACGGAGGGAGAGAGTCGCACAAACTGCCATTATCATGCAAATTGCTCCAGAGGAAAAAGGACAGTGAAAATGATAGCACTGATCTAATTATCTGCAGGCCAATATAGCTAAGTCACTGAAAGAGGCCCACAGAAAAGGCTGCCACAGAAACACAAAAAACAGCCAGAAAACAATAAGGAACTTAGCAACAGTATAAAAACGGACTTCTTTCTGTGCACAAAGACTAGTTTTATGAGCATTTTTCTTGCTTTCAGTTTGCAGAAAAGGTTAGAGCACATTTTAAATTCTATGCCAGGATATTCCCCCCTGTTCAGCTCGCAGAGATCCTTTGGCACGCCGTCATATCGCACCCGGCGGTGGGAACGTGCTGCTCCCGCCCGGCGTGCCCGGAGCGCCAGGCGGGACGGGCTGGGGGTCCCTGACAGGTGGGGCCTGGCAGCACCAGCTCCATGGCTGCCATCCTCCATGCCCCATCCAGCATCCTCCATGCCCCCCTCCATGGGGCCTCCATCACCACATTCAGGCCTAGCCCTTTCCGTGTGTTGATGCTCTTGTCTCCGTCCCTGCGCTCTCAGGGGTTCCCAGCTGGAGGATGCAGGGTTTCTTTGCTTCCCACTGTCCTGGTTTAGGGCAAATTTGGGAGAAAACCTCCAAAAGGGGGCCCCTCCAGAAAGGAAATCCACATGACCCCTCGTCTCAACCAGTTAAGGAAGGATTTCTTGGAGAGAAGTGGAAAGAACCTGTTTATTTAACAGGCAAAGCACCCCCCAGCACAGAAAATGAACAATACCGGATGACACCACTCTGTCACCGCTCTGAAAAAGATGACAAATTCAGAAAGTCTCTTTTGGGGGTGGACACTCTGTTATGAGTCCCTCCGGTGCTGGGGCAGCTGCTGCAGCCACAAGGTGCAAAACTCCCAGTGTTCCCAGGTCCCAGTCTGGAGCAGGTTCAAGTATGTTCAAAAAAGTGAAAGGAAAAACAGTCCAGGGAAAATTCGGACTGCTTAGCTAAACTAGCTAATGAGCAGAAGCAAAAAGCAAGAGCAAAGCAGAAGCAAAGCAGAAGCATGAGCAAGAGCAAAGCAAAAAGCAAAAGCAGCACTATGTACCGCCCTATCTGTGTGTCCCGCCAGCCATGGGGGAGAGGCTGATAACGAAACCAAAACGAAACTTTCACTCTTCAGAGCCAGTCTTGAAGGCACAGAACATGATATCCAGCATAAACAGAACACACCAATGGGGATACAAGCATCATAACATCACCCTAGGACACCCATCCTCCCTCAGGTGGGCTGTGCAAGGGTTTCTCGTCATCCCCTCCCCATGGAGCCACAAGAGGAGCCCGGCTGTGCCAGCCAGGATGGGCACAGCCATGGCCACAGCCCTCATCCAGCTCAGCAAGGACCTCAGTGAGGACCACAAGGCCCTGCCCACCAGATTGCCACAGGACAACCAAACAGGAAATACTCCGAAGCCATTGACTGTGGCTGTCAAAGAGGACCCTGCGGGATCTCACCCCTAATCTCTTATTCATGGGGAGAAGCAGGCAGCTCCAGAGTAACTCCCCTGTCCTATTTCAGTGATGCTGCTGACCTTGTTTTCCTGCTGACCTTGAAAAGAGCCCCATTATCAACTTAATCAAACTAATCTCAACCAGATCTGGAGAATTGCCAGATTTGTCCCAACATCCATTGGAGCTACAAGCGCCAAACCAGTGCAGGCAGTTGCCCAAAATGTCCTGAAAATGGTTTTTAGAAATTCAGAGGTCACCACGCTCCTTCTTGAGGGGGACACTCCCATCCAGTAACTACTTTTGTTCATTGCAGGTTTAAACTGGACTGGGAACAAAGCTGGAAAAGGGAGAAACAGAGAGCACCTCTCTCCAAAATCTCCAAGTCATCTAATCCCTCTTACTCCCATTTTTAGGTTTAGAAAATCTACTAATATATCAAAATATCCATAATTAGCCTCATGCCAAGAATGTACAGACAGCACAACAAATAGTTGCCAGATGTAGTAAGCCTTGTTCATATGACTGGATGCTCAGGAAAATGGAAGTGAGGAAAGACATTATTTTCCAAACAACTTTTAATTATTTCTTGTGGGCCTATGAAAGGGACTCTTAAGAAGGATCTGAAAGGGAATATGGGGCCGTCGTTCAGCTTGGATGGGGAGACTCACCAATATCGACAAAATTCAGTCTCCTAGTGTCATCACAAGGAGGAAGAATAGAATCCACTGGAAAACCCTGAGGGATGAGAGGATTCAGACTACATCCTCAGACACAGACAGGGTGGGCCCTTTTGCCAATGGCTCAGGCCAGTTCTGAGCCTGTCACCCTCACAAGCAGCCAGACATGGAGATATGGAAATACAAATACTGTGCTCTCAGTTTTGCCCAGAGGAAGTTATGTATATCTGTTTTCAGTACATCTGGTGATATTTTTTGTGCAAGATACCATCTTTGAGCCGTCTCTGCAGACTGGAGCCTTCATCTCTGATCTTCAGGTGGGAACCACTAGTGTGGATCACTGCAGAGTTAACTCATGGCCTAGATGCACTGTTTAAAGGTGGTTTTCCTTAGAAGCATGATTTTGGTTCATGGGATGGTATGGGCTTCATGGAGGAAGAATCAGAAGGAGAAAGAGGGCAGAAGAACTGTTAACAGAATTTTAGAAAGGGTGGGCAGATTCACTTGCAGAATTTAGTTCTTGAGAAAGACAACTTAACTATCAGGTGCTCAAAAAATCATTGTGGATGAAATGTTCCCACATCTATCCAGCTAGGGCTCCTTGAGATCCTGCCCAGTCTGTGTCCCAGAGGACAAACTGGGGGTTTACTATGCACATGACTTGAGTGGAGATCTATGGAAACTTGGGTCCCTTTCAGAGGGAATTGGGCAGGGCAGCAGAATCTTGTTAGATTAGAAATCTGCTGATGAGCCACAGGCAAACCTGTGCACTTCTTTCTGCTGTGGTCCTTCCTTTTTCCCTGTCTCAGCCCAGCTCCCACCACTGCCTGTGGCCAGCATCACACACAGCCCCATGGTGAACAGCCCAAACTGCTGCTAAAAGATAAATCTGTCCTTTTTCAATCTTGACACCTGAACACTGATTGAACCCCCAGAGCCCTCCACTGCATTGCCAAACCTGTCCTTTATACCAGCTTTTCCTACCTTACAGACCTCTTGGAAATACAGAAAATCACAGAGGAAGGAAGCCCAGAAGTCAGGTTCTCCAGCATGGCCATCTAACTGCACAAATTGTGTCTGCGTCTGAAGATACAACAGACAGCAGCAGAATAAACAAATCAGATGAAGCAAACCACCACTAAGACGGAGAAATAACAGGCACTCAGCACCTCCATCCAGCTCTCTGGCATTCATCACATCTTGTTTTGATTTTGTAGTGCCCACAAAACCGATATATTTTCTAGGAGAGCTTTGTTAGCATTTATACTATTGTGGGGGGAGCTGTCATGTTTGTGAATTGTCAGCTAAGGTCAGAAAACAGATTTTGGTGGCAAAATTGGCTGTGTCAGATAAATGTTAGTCATGGCAATTATCTGCCAGGGAATGTGAACAGGCTACAAAAATGATAAGAGGAGCTGCTGACACCAGAGATCCAGTTTCATTTTTTTCCATGGAATTTAATTTATGCCATCTTTGCAAACAATACCTGACTGTGAGATGGTCCAGCACCAGAACAGCAGCCACCAAACTGGTACCCAGCTGAATTCACCTCCTTGTTTGCTGCACCAGAGAGATTGGAGAGGGTTTGAGCCTTCTTCCTCACAATTCTGTGCATTCTCTGATCTCCCACACAGAAGTCTCTCCCCACCTGATACTTAGGTTAACAAGGGCCATGAAAACTAGACTTCACTGTCAATATCTAAACCACCCCCTTAACATTTCAGGAAGTGATGGGTTTAATTCCTTTCTGTGTTTCCCAGCTGCAGAACACACACCAGCAATCAGCTGGATGGAGGTGTGGGGATGAGCCTCACAGTCTGACATGTGCCATCCATGATTTGCTCCATGACAGGAAGGGCTGTGCAGAGAGGTCCAGCAATAACCCAATGGGGTATCAGTCTTTAGGGCTCTGAGAGCAGTAGCAGCTTTGGGAGGATGCCCAGGGTCAGGCACCATCATTAAGAGCTGTCTGTCAAAGCACTCTTCCCATCACCAAGAAAAAAAGATGGCCTTTTAAAAAGTGTCTGGGATGCACAGATCCCTTTCTGACAGCATGGAAGATACATCTGTGTTGGTAGCCCAGGGAAGCAGTTTCCAGCTACTTTGACTGATAGTCTAATATCTGACTTGCCCTTATCCTTAGGGTTATTTCATGCTAAATGAATAGCAGCAGGAAAGAAGAAGAAAAGGGAAGAAGGAAACCCACAGAAATTATTTTTTCCCTTTGAGTTTTGTTTTTTTTGGCCCAGCTGATCCTGTTGGCTCTGGTCCACAGTTATTTGCCAAGGAGGGGATGCTTACACCTCTGTAGTATTAGTCAAAGTTGGGCACTTGAGGCCACAGAGGCTGCCTGGGATGTTCAGACTGATGCTTAAGAAAACATTTCCAAGTCACCATTGCTTGCTTTCCTCTGGGGATGGCTGAATACCTGCCTGCCCCTAGGAAGTGGGGAACAAATTCCTTATTTTGCTCTGCTTGTGTGTGCAGCTTTTTCTTCACCTATTAAACTGTCATTATTTCTCACTTCTACCCTTCCCATTCTCTTCCCTGTGCTGCTCTAGGGGTGGGGGGAATGACTGCATGGCTGTGTGGGGCTGAGCTGCTGGCTGGGGTTAAACCACAACAAAATGCTAATTTCAGAGCACGGTGCAGAAGAAGTTGACTTGCACCCCTCACACTGGTGCCCAGTAATTGAGGGTGCATTGGGACAGCAAGCTGAAGAGTTCCTGTAGCTTTGTGCCAAAGGCTCCTGCGTGGCTTGTGAAGCCCTGGGGTCAGGTATTGGCTCCCAGTGCTGCTTTGGTGTTTAACATGACAATGAAACTGCTGCCCACTTTCATTCCCATCCTCTCCATTTCCTCCTCCATCAGCAAAGACTGATGTGCATCTTGGTATCTCCAGGAAGGATCTTTGTGTTCTCTTTATTGTCACAGCAACCCTCTGCCTTGAGGATGAGCCCCAGAGACAAGGATGTTTCATGCACTGGGGTTTGGCTGGAGAGAAGATGCAATTTGCTGCATTTGCAGGGACTTTTCTTGTTGGACTAAATCTTGAGGCTCAGACTCCTGAAGGTGTCTAATCCCTACCAGTTTTAGCACGACTCAGGGAATATTGCCTAAGGCCAGAGATGATCTGTGGTGATAACTCTCCAGCGTTGGGAGACTTTAAGGAGAGTATGTGACACTTGGTCAGCTTCAAGCCAACTATACTTTAGAAACTTTGGAATTTTATTCACATTTCCCAGTTTTCCTTTTGCCCATCCACCACCACATCACCTTCCTTCTGCTTTTGAAAAAGAGAAAGAAAAA